GGGGGGGGGGGTTAGGGTGAGGCCAGCCTGATTGTATTAAAGAATCAGAGCAAAGAGTAAGGATTAGGGAAGGAGGAGAAGTGGAGGAAGAGGGAGGAAGAGAGAAGGTGTAAGGAGACGGAGAGGGAGTCAAGTACTGCCACCCCCAGGAGGACAGGTCTGAACTGCCACCCGATAGTATCCCTGTGGGTAAGCACAGCGGTCCCGTGATGCCGCAAGGTAGCAGGTCTTTCGTTCTGTATTCAGTGAGTTGAAATCTTGTCGTGAGAAAAGTCTCTCTGCTTCATAGAAGCTCTTACTTCCGTACCTCTTGGTTGGTTTTTACTGAATATCTGCTTTTTGTTAAGAATTTTCTGTTTAAATGGATAAATCCCTGCCTTATGATTTGTATCTTGTAAATAGCAAACCCAATAGCCTATGCCTAGTGATGTTTAATAAGTGCTTGAGGTTTTTTGCTTCAGTGCTTTTTGGTTTTCAAGACAGAGGAGGAAGGAATTTTTTTCTGCCCTTCCAGGTTCTTTCAGCTGATCTAATAATGAAATCAATACAAGATAGATTAACCAAATTTAAGTACATATGTATGAAGGGAACTCCACATGCATGAGTCAGAAACCCCACATACATGAGAGGTTCAGAGACAGAAAGGGAAAATGAAGCGTGTGTGGCATCCTGAGCCAAGCAATGAGGTAAGGTACCTGGGGCTAAGAAGGGAGGAGGGTCTTAGAGGAGCAGATGTTCAGTAATTAGATGTTTGCCCTGCTCTATTGATAGGCCATAAAAAGTTATCTCTGGTAATAGCTCTTATTATGGGCAAAGCCCCTAATTTTTATTCGTTTAGGTAGTTAAGGAGGGACAGAAGTTTCTTCTGAGCCCATAGCGTCTTGATTGCCTTCAGCTCAAAATAATCCACCTGCCAAAGTAGCACAGCTTGGGGAGGCCTGTTCTAAACCCCTTTGGCGACATCTGAGTTATAAAGCAATAATGCATCTTAAATAATACTGACCAATACAGACAAGATTATTTTGTTGGATGCTTTAATTCTTAATTCTCCTTTATATCAAACAACTTTGACAATGTAGAAGTGAAGAAACCACCCCAGCCCCCACCCCAAGACCCTTGTCATCATCTTCAGGTTTTGCTCATTCAGCTCTGAACAACTCTTCTCTCACCTCCGCCTGAGCACCATTTTCACTTTTTAAAGATTTATCTGTAGTTGGACCTCTCCTAGGTTGCCTTTCCTGATGCCCATTTGCTTCCCCCCGAAAGTGGACTCATCCCCTTTGCCTCACTGTGCTCTAGACACACTGCTGTCACCTTCCTGCTCTCATTTGCACAACTGTTTCCCTGAACCAGAATGTTCTTTCTTTGAGGCAGAGTATAATTATTATTTTGCTTATATTTTAAAGTTATAAAATGGTATCCTGATTTATTTTGTCTTAGTATTATGTTAAAAGCAGTTTTTTTATTTTATCAAGTTGTTTTGGTAAATGTAATTTTAACAACTGCTATTTCATCTAATGGGTAGACAGTCCTCTTGTTATTGGCTATACAGCTTGTCTGTAAGTTTTTTCCCAATAAAGTATTGTGGCTACCTTCCAAAATTGACAATGAAAAATACCTCTTTAAATTTATTATTAAAATATCTATTTGTTATAAGATACATGACAGAACAAAGCTATGTTTTTAATTCTTGTAGTGTTCTAGTTACAGAAAATAAAAATAACTTTGCCAGCATTGAAAGTCTTTCTGTAAGTAACTTACACCATTCAGAGGGTCCAGAGTTCAGAGCTCAAGCCATGTTGTCCAACCTGCAATTGCGCTCATCCAGCAATTGTTACTAATCAAGCTAATGTGATAAAAATAAAATTCCGTGACTTTGGTTGAATGCAGTGTGGGGGGAAAGGGAAGTACTAAAAATAATTATTTCCTGAACATCTTGACTATAGGACATATTAAGAACATGATTGGGAATTTATTTAAGGAAATTTGTTTGAATGTGTCTAGGAGTGCTTCTCTAGAGCTGAGCACAGTTGAGTACATAGTCATCTGCTTAAGGGAAGTTAGATGTTACCTTGAATTTACATTTTAAGAATAGTATAGGAACCATTTAAAGTTTTCTGGAGGTTGAGTGGCTGCTACTTTGAGCTGAAATATATAGCACATTAAACAAGGAATCAGAAAACCTAGGTTCACATCCTGTTTCGCCCAGCTCACAAACCATGAGACCGTTAGAATTCTCATTAACCCCATAGTCCTGCCGCCAAAGCACCCTGCAAAAGCTAAAAGGAGGTAAAGAATGGGAACGTGCCTGAAAACTATAACGTACTGTGCAAAAATAAGCTGTCTTCTATTCCCAAACAGGCAGATGGCTCCACTGAATGCACAGCCAATTGGGAACATGGCATTTTTACCCTAAAAATGCCTGTTCGATAATTAGATTTTCTGTGGACACTTCTAGCTTTAGCTCTTGAGGATTTAAGTACTATCATGCTAGAAGAAATATTTCTTAAAGTATTTTTAAATTACCTTTGCTGTTGTGCCTGTAGTATCAATGTCATTTGTGCTTCTCACAAGCACAGCTACTCTAGCGTTTTCTTTATAATGAATTTTAAAAATTGAGTGTTTTTTTGTAAGTTATGTTTAAGGTGCTTTGAGAGGGAAGATAAAAATAGAAATTGGGGTAGGGGGAGCTACTGAATATGGTTTCTTAAAGAATTGGATACTCTCTGGAAATCTGTTAATATATAAAATTGATTTAATTGTAAGTTGTTATAAGCCTATATCTGTTTCATAAATCCACTTTGGCCTTATTGAGTGCGGGTTCTCTGAAATCCCTGAGGAGGTAGTTAACGGATGGATGGCCAAAGGACAAAGTAGGCTGCTTAGGTTTCAAAGCCTGATGCATTAAGGGAGATAGGCATTGTTACCGAAGCCAAGTTCAACTCATTGACCATGAACCTGCTCTGCCACAGATTCCGAGTCGGAACGGTCCCTGAGTCGATTGGAAGCAGTGACTGCACACTCCTTTGAAGAGGAAGGGGAACATTTGAGCAGTAGAAAACCCAGAATGTCTGAAGGAAAAGATTGCGGTGGGGGAGATGCTCTCTCCAATGGCATCAAAAAACACAGGTAGGCGAGCCTTTAACAGTTATCATTGCTGACTTCTTATTATCAAGTCCATTTGAGTTCTTAAAAGTATGCCTTTTTGTTTACCCCCCTCTGTGTTGGATATTTATATTGCAGTGCCACCTCAAAGAAACAATGTAGTTTAAATATTTGTCCATTTGAGAGGAGAACATCATCTGTAATTGTAGGAACAAAGCACAGAACTTGGTCTTAGCAGCATGGTTTTAGAGGAACATAAATCTTTTAGTTGGCCGTTTAGAAAGGTTGTTCAGAACTCCCTATTGAAATTGATGCTGGGTTCCTTTTTTCATCATACATCTTTTATGACTTTGCCTCCCAATGCTATTTTAGTTTCTAGTCATTCGATCTTCTTGTTGGTTTTATTAAGAATGGATGGTAATATTGCCTGCCTGTTGACTCAATTTAGTTACATTTTAACAAAGACTTTCATTAAGACCCAGGGTTTGTTGAACGTATCTATTCTATACTGTCTGAAAACATTAGTATCTTTTTATTCCCTTGATTTAGTCCTAGAGATTGTCCCAAATTAATGAGACGTAACAGACACTCAGGTTCTCCAGTTTCAGCACGAGCGTGCAGACACAGTGGCATGTGTGCATGCTGGTATTCATAGAGAAGATGTTTATTAAATAGCAGTAAAGGATGTAGCCTGTTGTCATTGTAAAAAGCACTTTTTGGGGGTAAGAAATTATTAACAGTTTCTATAAGATAGTATTTTTGTTTAATATTTGTAGGTTGTGTAACTTTATCCCATTTTCTGCATCATGATTTGGGCCACAATTGGTCTCAATTGTTCTACTGGAAAAAATACACATATCACTTCTGATTTATGTGTATTTGCACCTTGTTAACAAACTGTCTCACTTTGTACTTATTTTGACAAGATCAGGGAGTTTTAGGTAACAAACTAGATAAAAGCAGAGTTTTCTTTTGTTCAATAACAGGCCTATCCTCAAAGCATGGTTCCCGATGGTTGTCTTTTGATGTCGTTTACCATTGCAAATTACATGGCTAGCAAGGGTCTTCCTGATTTCCTTTGCAGTTCCAGTCAGCTCCTTTGGGGGTCCAGGGCTAAGTTTTGAGCAGGTCATGAAATGTCTAACAGGAAACCTGGCAGGTCTGTCGGTCTCTAAAGAGAAGATAGCCTTTAACTATTTAAACACACAGCATGACAGTGCAGTGAGAACACAGGTGAAATCTTTGGCATGTTCAAAGAAGCATGCAAATGTCGATATTATTGTAAAATATCAGAAAGAGTGCTGTGCTTAGATGCTGTCATATCCTATGGCTGGAGGGGTATTTCGCTGCTTTTTAGGGCCTGCTAGCCCTTTTGTATGTGTGCTATAATAACAGTAGTTATTTTACATTTGACAGAAATGTATTACTCCATACTCATATATTCTGTGTTCTATCTTTAGTCAAACTCAGAATGGTACAGATGTGTACAGATAGTACAGACAGTTAAGATGAAATTGTTCAAAAAATGAAATCAGAACAGGTCACTAAGAAATGCAACTCGATAGTGACCTAGTCAGAAAAGGTAAACTGGTGAACAGGATGCAGCTTAGTAAACCTTTACATATAATAAAACATTCTTCAGTTATTTAAAGGAAAAGAGGTGATTTTAGGAAATGTCAGCAGTCAAATATTTGGAAAACATAATTTCTTATTTTAAAAGGTAGTGATTATAGGATTATTTTTTAAAGCCTAGTTTTTTTTGGTTCATAAAGTTCTCCAACCAAATAAACAGCACATGCCACACACAGTGTAGAAGTTTCATTTTAGAACAGGAGAATAGGGGGTTTTCAGTGTTGGCGAATCCGTCTTGCCTGTGCAATAAACTCTATTCCCTTTCTCCTCAAAGGTGGTGATTTGCTTTGCTCTGAGAACCTCTGCTCCTGTTCTCCTTTCCCACCCCATTGTCATAGGATGACATCACGGGGTACAGTTTGAAAACCTCTGACCGAAAAAGTAACATAAGCTGTACGGCACACTATGTCATATTAATATAAAATAAGGCACGCCGCACTAATTGCATTTATTTCTATGACAATAAAAGTATAGATAGCCATCCCATGTGATAATTACCAACAAAATGATTTTTCTGTTAACTAAGTAGGTAACTTAAGTCATCTCTTAAGTAAGAGTTTGGGCTAAATAAACTGAGGTCTCATCTCACTCTAAAAATCTTGTAATTGCAAACTGAAATCTTGAAAAATGGTTTTTCTACCATAGTGAAGTTGTAGAGAACTCCTGCCGTGTCTCAGTCTGCGTAAGCCTAGGGGAAAGTAGTTTGTTTTTAGTTACTCAGAATTAAAAGATATGCTGGGTGCTCTCCCAGCCAGTGACCTTTACCAGAGAGTTGTACATGTCACTGGGCTTTTAGGTTAGTTCTAGAGATATATCAACAGAAAGAATTCGGGTTTTAGTCAAGACCTAAAACCAAAAATACTGTAGAGCTAGAGAATATACAAAATAAATGCCCCACTTCGATGCCTCTCCCCCCCAGTACATTGAGTTGCTTTGTGGAAAATTAGCCTACACCATGCTGTGGTCAGGTTTATATTTACAGGGCTTCTCGTCATCTTGGCTGTGTTCCACAGGATCAGTTCTCACTCTTGGACCTAATTTATTAAATTTATTGTGAGCTCTAATCCTCTAACTTGTTAGCATTTGGCCCAAGTTGTTATATTTGCTAAAGATCTCAATATTTATACCATCCTGTCACTGGATAGGGTGTAAAAGATACTAATATAGAACAGATCAGTCAGAATTTGAAATGTTGGATTCATGTTATTCAATAAATGTTATTCAAATGTTATTCACTGTATTATAGCACTAACAGATTTAAGAAGAAAGCCATGTGATTGTCCTAATAGATAAAGAAAAACATTCAATAAGATTAAGCAGTCATTTATGATTAATAAATATTTTAGCAAACCACAAATGGAAGAGAACCTCTTTAATCTGATTAAAATCACCACAAATAAATTGCTTAGAAATGAGATATCAGAAGCAGTTCTTGTAATATCAGGAATGGGTCAAGGATGCTTGCTGTCATCTTTTCGACTCAGCGTTATCTGTAGGCTATCACCAGAGATAGTGCACCCACAAAAGTTAGAAATAAATAAAATATAACCATAAGTATTCATAAATTATTAGTATGAGTAAGAAGGTTTGGCAAGGTTTCTTTTATACAAAATCAGCTCATTACATTTCTGTGCACCATCAACAGACAGAAACTACATTAAAATGGGGGAGGGGATATTTGGAATTATGAAAAAGTCACCAAGGAATAAATCTTAGCAAAAAACGTATTATAATAAAACTTACAGAAAAACATAAAACTTACTGAGAAGGAAATTCATTGTCATAAGGATGTTTTTGTCAAATTGCTCTTAGACTCATTGTAATTTTAATTAAATCTCAGTGTCCTTTTCCTGGAGGCAGATTGAGTGCAGAATGGGGAAAAGCTCCAAAGGCCACTCATACAGGGAAACCTGGGGCATGTAGCTGAGCTGGCATGACAGGGAGAATGGACTGTTAGGTAAATGGTTCTGGGGTAGCCACTTAATACGGAAAACAATAAAAGGAAATGGATTCCTATTTCATATACACAAATATAAATTCTAGAAGAATCAAATACTTGAATGTGAACAGGCAGAACAAACTTTAGAAGAAAATGTAAAGCATCTTTGCAATTTTGGAATGTGGAAGGACTTCTTGCAACAGAAATATGATAAAGACTAAGTTTTTATCTGACGCTAGTTAACCTACTTGTACTGGATATATTTACTTGAATAAAAGCCTATTCTTCAGTAAATGTGGCTGAGAATCTCCAAGGTTTATTTTGCTGAAATGGTAGGATGATAGATGAGGACTCCGCATGATTGCTCAGTTTACCCTTTATTTATCCCTCACGACTGCTTCAGAATTGAATTACTAGGTAGCCAAGTAACAGCTGTCTTGGGCGTGTGAAGAATTCATACAAGGAACATACTGACAAGTTAAAGCCAAACAAAGAGATTGAAAATATAAATGAAGGCAATACCTTCCTAAGACTATATTGAGAAAAAGCTGTTAATGGTAATGACAATTATTCATCTAATTTCCATGGAGATATGGGACAATTCTGGTTGTGGACTTAATTAGGTCAGGGCACAGGCTTCGTAACATGTCATCCCACGCAGACGTCCTCTGGTGCCCTGACGCCCATGTCTGTCTGGAAATACATGGAATAACTTTTTTTAAAATAAGTTTTTATTGACTTTTAGAGAGAGGGAGAAAGAAACATCCACGTGAAAGAGAAACATCGATCGGTTGCCTCTAGCACGTGCCCCGACTGGGGATTACACCTGGGTATGTGCCCTGCCCGGGGATCGAACCCGCCCTCTTCTGGTGCACTGGACGACTCTCCAACCAGCTGAGCCACACCGGCCCTGGCATAACTTTTGTTGTCATGTTGTAGGGGTCTTAAGCAGGAGTCCAGATGCATCTCTGATTGTCAAAGGACCCAGGAGTGGGAGAAAGCAAGAGTCCTGCCGGAATGAGCCAGAGTGATGGTAGGCCTGTGGGCTGGAGGGAACAGTGCGGTCTCACCCTCCTCCCTGCCCTAGAGTACGTATTTGCTCTGGAGAGTGAAGGGCTGTTATTTATTTTTTTATTGTTACTAGAAGCTCACACAGCTTTATTGCGGGGCTTGCTTCTTTAATAGGCTGCAGAGAGAGAACAGCAGCAGAGATGGAGGAGCAGTAGAGAGAGGAGGTGCTGGATACGGTAGGGGATGTAGAGGCCGGGTGAGGCCTGGCTGTGGTGTAGGCATGCTGGGGGCAGCCCCCAAACTGTAGATGTCTGTCAGCGGGCAGCGGAGATTGGACGCCTGGAGCAGGTCGCCAGGTTGGCTGGCAGTAGCCGAAGCAGAGGAGTAAAGGCCAACAGGCCACTCGGCTTACAGGAGACATCCTCGCTCCTACAAGAACACA